GCGGCTTGAAAACGAGGTAGCCCAGACAGGTTCTCAGAGCCCCTCCTGAGGGGTTGACTGAGAAGGCCCAGGGCTTCTGCTAGGAGTTAGGGTTTCAGGGCCGGTCTGTGGTGCCTGGTTATCCTTCTGTTTCCGGGAGCCAACATCAGTCTTTGCACCTACGATTCCGCCCCCCGAAGCCTGAGCCTAGAATGGTGTGACCCACTAGAAGCCCCTCCAGCTACAACCAGTCTCTAGGGCAGAGTCAAGCCCACCTATTGGGCTTTGAAGACTGTAGATCTTTACCGGACCAGATGGCCTCTTCTTTCCCCCTCTGAGGGGCTGCTTGGTTTGAACTGCTGACTCTTCCGGGAACAGCCAGACCAGTAACCCACTAGGCCACCTCAGAAACCCAAACCCACTGCCAAAAAGCTGATTTGGACCCACAGAAGCCCCGTAGGACTGAGTAGAACTTTCCCCTTGGGCTTCTGAAACCATAACTCTCCATGGGAGAAGAGAGCCTCATCTTTATCTTCCTCCTGAGGAGCGGTGGGGGGCTTTTGAACTGCTGACCTTGTGGTTAACAACCTCACGTGTAACCACTCCAACCCCAGTGTGCCTCCAGCTCTCTTCATGCACGCGAGGAGACTGTTTATCGAGCACACGGGTCTTGTGGCTGCCCTGCTCTGTGGGGATGAAGGCTCCACGCCTGGAGCCAGCGCAGGGATGGCCCTCCAGGTCTGTCATGTGGACCCATTTTGCAGAGGTGAGCCAAGAGTCGAAGCAGCGGTTCAGAGCCCTGAGAGAAGAACAATCTGTGCCCAGATCCCTGGGGACCTTTTTTTGGTTTAAAGGGAGAGCCCACGGAGAAGGGAGTCTGAGGACCAGACAAGGATGAGGGAGGCTGCTGACGTCTCTCAGACGCCCCTGCTGTCCTGTCCTGCAGGCTCGTTCCTGCTGTTGTCCTCAGCCCGGCCGGCCGAGCTGAATGGTACTTGCTTCTCGCAGGCTCCGTCGCTGGTCCCCACCCCCCTTTTGGCAGCGCTGCCTCTGTTTGTTATTGTAGCTCTGGCGCAGGGCCAGGCCTGGCTGGGCGCCAGCCTGTGGGTACAGTATGTACAGTGAGTGTGGGCCAAGTTTGTCATCATACACGATTAATTTTTTTTTCCGAATCCAGTAGGGGTGGCGTGAAGGGGGAGGCTAGCGGCGTTTCTCGGATGCAAGAGCACAGGCCGCACGGAAACTGGGGGAGAGATTATTTGTGGAGGAAGCCGAGCATCCAGCGTGGGCTTCCTCCTTCAGCCCATGCCCCCTTTCCTGCCACGCCTTCCTCTCCTCTCCCCAGCGGAGGAAAATCTAGTCCGGAAGAAGAGCTCTGCAATGGGAAGCTGTTCGGTGACTGGAATACTAAATCCACGCTCCTAAATCAGTTTTCATTGTGTGGAAATTGACAATTTGTTCTAATGAGGAGTGTGCCCTGTAGGAGGCCTTTCCAAGAGATGGCACTTCCTCATCCCTTCCCTCTCCCACAACCATCCCCGCCCCAGCCTGTATTT